TAGCTGTAGTTTTTTTAAAAAACAAATTACAATATACAGATATGTCTAGTCGTCATGTTTAAATTATGTACATGAAATGGGTAAAGCCCCATGTTACTATGCAGTACCTTACATACACCACAGCATTCCACTCCGATCGGTGTATTCAATGTTCATACAACTAACAATCGCATCACTGACATATTCAGATGTAGTAGTACCAGTGGAACTATTGAATTCCATCTTGTCTACTTTTGTTAGTGGTATCATATTAAATTTGATACTTGAAGTTTTCACTTCCATTCTTAGCTAGCTAATTATGCTCTCTGCCTAGCCAGAATATCCTGAATTAAGCATTTACCTGTCACCATCCAGAATGCAACTCCTGGCAGACTTTACTTTATACAGTACAGCTCCCTCTTTTAATTATCGATATTCATTTTAACCTGTGAGTGCATATTTAGGCAGAGAAAACACTGAGAACTGTTCATTCCAATGCTTTATGGAAAACGAAAGGCAGTTAATGCACTTCCTGTGTCATCAGCTTCTCTTGTAAGCATTACATAAATTGAAAATGTTTATAATCAACCCATAAATACAAAAACTGTAAACAAAAACATGACCAGCTTTGAGAAAAAATGGCACTCGTAGCTTACATAGAAAGAGCCGCAACTACACGTAAAATTTAAAAGGGACTTTTGAAGTTACATTTATCATCACTGATAATTAAAAAAAGTCTAGATTAATTAACTTTTTCTATTTCAACATCAGGCATTACTTTTAAAATATTTAATGTGCTAACATTTTTGGGAATAAGCAATGTGCATGTGTTTTACTGAGAGAACATTAGTTATCAAAGTTAGACGCTGAATGGGAAATTGGATTGAAAAATGATAAATTTCTACCTCTGTGGTCTAACTGTTACTAAGCTAAAAACCTGATTTATTCATCTGAGCATAAGGATTATTTTAAAGAATTCAAACTGTATACTATACACAACATATACAGTATATTTGCATCTAAAAATCACCAGAAATCACTGATGTTGAAGCTGTTGCAGATATATACAGTACATGTAAGTGGTAAAACTTGTTTGCATTGTAAAATATTTTGTCAAGATATTATGAATTTCTTTTTGGTACATGATAATTAGGGATGAATGAAATTAAGAGTTTTTATTTCCTAAAATTGTGTTGCAAATCTGAAGATTTTAGTGGAATTTCACCCTTTTTAACAAAATTAAAGGATAAGTCTATGTTTTTTTGTGCATGATAAAAAAAATGTCCATTTTCTATTTTTTTAGAAGCCTGGAAAACATTGCACTAGCGATCAGATCTCTGGTGCCATATAGGACTCCTGCAGACTGTCAATGTAAGCCGTCTGTCTGTACATCATACAGGCAGGCAGTTTCACACTGACAGGAAGAATCAATGAACTACTAAAGTGCTCAAAAGCGCTGTGGTAGTTCATTGAGAACTTCAACAGGCAACCACAATGGATGTCGGTATTGTAGATCATTCATTCACAGAAATCTGTGAATGAATGATGAGGCCATGTGGGTGGAGCCCCACATGGCTCTGCACTTTTCAGAAAGTGGCAGCTGGTATGGACAACTTCTCCCCATACTGCAGTCACACAGAGGCAGTGAATCGCCAAGCAGCTGCAGGAGCTGGAAAATGTTACCTGTTCCACCCTAAAAATAGGTAGAACATGTAACATGTTCCTGATAGTAAACCTACTCTTTGATTGAAGTCAATGGCTAGGTGAAATTAAAAAAGATATTGCAATAAAATGCAAGGTCTGTTTATTGGGCCGTGGGCCCCAACCCCCTGTAAAAACATAGTACTATAAAATATGTACCATTAAAGAGTAAATTAAAAGTATATTCTATACTAGTCATCAAAAAAAATTATACACTCTTTCAACAATTTACATTAAAAACTGAGATTTTAGTTGCATACTTTTGAAAATATATGTGGACGCTACATTGCCTCATCAAAGCCCCTCTGTGAAGAGTGGTCCCCAACTCTAGTGCAACAGAGATATTATCTTGGTACACATATCTAGCAATAAATATATTTAGGGTAGGTATGCCTGTAGGTAATACATTCCTCCTTAACCACTTCCCGACCGGCCATTGTATATAAACGGCCGGACGGTGGCACTGCAGGGTCGGGTGGTCGTTTATAAACGGCCTCCCCGCACCCTGCTTGTGCACGCTTCCCGGGAGCGCGCAGCACCGCGATCCAGTGCCCGCTGTGTCCTCAGGACACAGTGAAAAACCGATCGTCGGACGGGACCTCTGTACGAGGTCCCGATCATGTGATCACTGATTGGCCAATCAGTGATCACATGCAAAGTAGTAAGCAAGATGTCACTTCTGACATCATTGCTTACTACGTGTGAAATCTGTGATCACAGAGATCACATGGTACAAGGCTATTCACAACAGCTTTGTACCATGTGACAAGCTGTGACCAATCACAGCTCACTCAGTAGTTCTCAATGGCTGCAAGAATGCAGACAGAGAGAAAGAGAAATGATTGCTTTTACATCCTATATGGGTGTGAAAGCAATCAGTGTAAAAAAAAAAAAAAAATCTTCATCACCCCCCAAAAGTAGTACAGTGTCACCATGCTGACACTGTACTGCTAGGGTGACAGTATGTAAAAAAAAAAAAAAAGTAATAAAATAAATAATAATATAAAAAAAATAAAAATGTAAAACAAAATGTTTAAAAATTATAATTTTTGGTTATAAACTAATTTGGCTTATTTTTTTTTTTTTTACTAAAAAGATAACGGAATAAATGTTGGCCAAGATTTATGATGAAATATTATTTATTTGCAAAATTTTATAAGAAAAACACTTTTTTTCTAAATTTTTGGTCCTTTTTTATTTACATAGCAAAAAATAATAAATACCAGCAGTGAATAAATACCACCAAAATAAAGTTTTATCTGTCTCAAAAAAATGGTAAAAAAATTCATATGGGTACAGTGTTGCATGACCGCAACTGTCATTCAAAGTGTGATAGCGCTGAAAGCTGAAAATTGCCCTGGTCAGGAAGGGGGTAAAAGTGTCCGGTCTGGAAGTGGTTAAATGTGCAAAGACACACCAGAAGTCCAATATAGCACAATGGCAGCTGAAGACCCCCAGTGTGTCTCTACACCAAATATAGCAAGCAAAGCAAAAAATGGCTAAAGCTTCAATCAATGCATGGTTAGTTATTTAACCCCTTCATGACAGAAGGTAAAACAAATCTTAATGGCTAACCACAGTTTTGCAACTTTAACATGTGTTAGTAAAAACTGTACATATCATTGCAACTACTACTATATTATTATTATTATTATACAGGATTTATATAGCTCCAACAGTTTGTGCAGCGCTTTACAAAATGAAGGTAGACATTACAGTTACAATACAATTTGGTACAAGAGGAAACAGAGGGCCCTGCTCATTAGAGCTTACAATCTAGGAGGAAGGGTTGAGTGATACAAAAGGTAATAGCTGTGGGGGAATGAGCTGTTGGAGGAAGCGGCCGTTTACTAGGTAGAAGCAGGATAGACTTCTTTAAAGAGAGAGGTTTTGAGGGATTGTCTAAAGGTGGATAGGTTAGGAGATAGCCAGACTGATTGGGGAAGGGAATTCCAAAGGATGGGAGAAGCTCGGGATAAGTCCTGGAGGCGAGCATGGGAGGAGGTGACACAGGAACTAGAGAGCAGAAGGTCTTGGGAGGATCGAAGAGAGCAGTTTGGTTGATATTTTGAGACCAGGTTGGTGATGTAGCTGGGGGCAGAGTTGTGGATGGCTTTGTAAGTTGTTGTTAGTATTTTGAATTTTATTTGTTTGGCGAGTGAAAGCCAGTGGACGGATTGGCACAGAGGGGTTGCAGACACTGAACAGTTGGTAAGGTGGATGAGCCTGACAGCAGTATTCATGATGGACTGGAGGGGGGATAGCCTATGTAAAAGGTAAGCCAATGAGGAGGGAGTTGCAGTAGTCGAGGTGAGAGATGACTATTAGAAGCTTTGTGGTATCATTGGTTAAAAAGTGGCATATTCTGGAGATGTTGCGGAGGTTGAGGCAGCATGATTTGCACAGGGATTTGATGTGGGCCTGAAAGGATAGTTCAGAATCCAGGGTTACACCTAGCACCCTGGCATGCAGGGATGGGTTGATAGTGGTGCTATTGATCTTGACTGAGAAATCAGGGGAAGAGTTATGTGGGGGAAGAAATATTATGAGCTCAGTTTTAGATTGAATTTTAGGAAGTGGTGTGACATCCAGTCTGATATGTCCGTTATCTTAGGGTGGAACAGTTAACATTTTTCCACTTCTGCAGCTGCTTGGCGATTCACTGCCTCTGTGTGACAGCAGTATGGGGAGAATACCAGCTGTCACTTTCTGAAAAGTGCAGAGCCACATGGCCTCATCATTCATTCACAGATTTCTGTGATGAATGAACTACAGTACCGACATCTTATATACACTATATTGCCAAAAGTATTGAGATGCCTACCTTTACACACACATAAACTTAATGGCATTCCAGTCTTAGTCCGTAGGGTTGAATATTGAGTTGGCCTACACTTTGTAGCTATAAAAGCTTCAATTCTTCTGAGAAGGCTGTCCACAAGGTTTAGGAGTGTGTCTATGGGAATGTTTGACCATTTTTCCAGAAGTACATTTGTGAGGTCAGGCACTGATTTTGGACGAGAAGACCTGGCTTGCAGTCTCCACTCTAATTCATCCCAAAGGTGTTCTATTGGGTTGAGATCAGGACTTTGTGCTGCCTAGTCAAGTTCCTCCACCCCAAACTCATTCATGTCTTAATGGACCTTGCTTTGTGCACTGGTGTGCAGTCATGTTGGAACAGGAAGGGGCCGTCTCCAAACTGTTGCCACAAAGTTGGGAGCATGAAATTATCCAAAATGTCTTTGCATGCTGACGCCTTAGGAATTCTCTTCACTGCAAAGAAGGGGTCAAGCCCAACCCTTGAAAAGTCTGTACTGCTCTAGAATCCAGTGGTGGTGTGCTTTACGCCACTGCATTGACGCATTGTAAAGCACTTGGTGATGTAAGGCTTGGATGCAGCTGCTCGGCCATGGAAACCCATTCCATGAAGCTCTATACCCACTGTTAATCTGAAGGCCACATGCAGTTTTGATGTCTTTAGCTATTGACTCTGCAGACAGTTGGAGACTTCTGCACACTGTGCACTTCAGCATGCGCTGACCCCACACTGTCATTTTACATGGCCTACCACTTTGTGGCTGAGTTGGTGTTGTTCCCAGTTGCTTCCACTTTCTTATAATACCACTATCAGTTGACCGTGGAATATTTAGTAGCAAGGAAATTTTACGGATTAACTTATTGCACAGGTGGCAACCTATCACGGTACCACTCTTGAATTCACTGAGCTTCTGAGAGTGATCCATTCTTTCACAAATGTTTGTAGAAGCAGTCTGCATGCCTTGGTACTTGATTTTATACACCTGTGGCCATAGAAGTGATTTGAACACCTGAATCCAATGATTTGGAGGGGTGTCCAAATACTTTTGGCAATATGTATATATATATATATATATATATATATATATATATATTTTTTTTTTTTTTTTAATTATCAAAGAAAAACTGGCACACAATAGTAAAACAGTGATTTGTACCTGTAGTAGGGCCCAGGCACAAAAGTGAGCATGTTTTTATCCTTCCTAAGACACACTGGGGTGGACTTACTAAAACTGGAGAATGCAAAATCTGGTGCAGAGAAACCAATCAGCTCCCAGTTTTTTTTGTCAAAGCTTAATTGAACAAGCAGACGTTATAAACTGATTGTCTACCATGCACAACTGCATAAGATTTTGCACTCCCCAGCTTTGGCAAATCAACCCCACTGTCACTAACTGACACTGATACTAAATTAAAAAAGAATTTTTTAATCCTATCTAAAATACAATGACCCTGACCTTTGACCCTAACCTTGACCTTAACTATGACTCTGGCCTAGATCAAACCCTGATCTAGCTATTGTTTCTTTTTTTACACATACTTCTTTGGTTTATACTCTTCTCTAGCAGAGAGAAAAAGATACACTTTGATTTTTTTCTCCATTCAAAAAGTGAAAATACAAATGGGGGAGGCTGTATAGTGACTTATCACTGTGATAGCCAATCAGAGGCTATCACAGCAATCATATCATCTGCAAACAGCCTCTCAATTCTTGCTCATTAGTACAAGACCAAGGTCTCTTAGAAAGAGCCTGGTCTCTGCCCTGGGAGTGCGCTGTGCAGTGTGCTTCCAGCACAAACACGGGTAAACATATATGTAGTGCCACAAGTTTGAGACCCACTTCCATGAGGCCACATATATGCATACACTCCTTGTGAAGGGCATAAAGAAATTTCCAAGCACACTTGCCAGTTAGTTGGTAACAAGAAAAAAAAAAACCTTTCTACATTTCTAAATTTCTACACTATTTCAACAATTGACATTAAAACAGAGGTTTTAATTGAACACATTTACAAAATTGACATCGCATTCCTGCCACAAGATACTAGGACTACAGCGCAGTGCAAATCTCGAAAAGATGTTTTTGCAATGGACTATGTGTGTTCATGTAAGATTTGGTCTGCACTGCATTCTCCAGGTATCTTGCTAGAAGGAAATTGACATTGTGCCCTGCAATGTGGAAAATGGGGGTAATGTAAGCATATAATCTAGAATTTTTCTTTACAAGTACATTTTTCTTTACAAGTACATTTTTGCTAGCAATTTTTACAACAGTAGGAAGGCTATAACTAATATGTGGACCTCATGTGAGGTCCACTTTAGGACGTTGTTTAAGGGTGTAGTGGACGTAAAGTCTAAGTTCACCTTTAAAAAAAAATAAATAAATACACATATTTTTACAGGAAAAAAAATATGCATTTTTTTCATAGAATCCTACAATGCATAGTACTAGTGATTCACTGATCTGCGATGCCAGATGTTAACCTCCCTGGCAGTATTCCTGAGTGTAGCTCGGGGTAAACTTTCAGTACCAAAAGCGGTAATCCCGAGCTACACTCAGGATTACACTGCAGCGTTGCTCCTGGATCCCTGTTTCACTTACCTTGTCCTGCGCTCCCGCGATGTGCCCCCTGCAGCGTCCCCGGCCATCTCCTCTGGCCAATGCCGGCATCCGTCTTCATTTCGTTCCCTGTGAGCGTCAGGACGTACGGGACGTACTGGGGCGGAACCGGGGGGAAATTGAAAAATTTTAAAAATGACATTCACTCAATACACTAAAATCACATAGTAAAACATTACTGTATCAAACTATTTCACATACATTTTGTCCCTAGTGCTTTGTCCTGTGCCCTGCCTGCATTTTTACTGTTCTTTCTGCTTGGAAACTGAGAAAAGGCCACGGCGTCCAAAAAGCGTCCCTTTAGGTCAAAAGTGGTTTTAGACCAGCTAGAGAACAGCGATAGTAAATTAGAACCACTTGCAGAATTGAGTGATACTGATTCGTGGGGAAATTAATCATCAGACACTGAAAACTATTTTGCGACTAAGCTCAGTGATGTGCGAACTTGGCGTTATATTTCAAATTTCAGTGTTTTTGGTTTGATTACATTATTGAATTAAATTTATTACTATATTATCACTTTTTTATGATTATTTATTATATTATAATTTATGATTTCATGTTTCAAATTTTATCATAGCCGGGATGTTTACTAGACTCTTGTTTGGACAGATTTCAGTGAGTTATTCCTAAAAAGTACAGGCCTACAATAAAAAAAATGACATATTTCCATGCAAAAAATGTACCACTTTGAGCACAGAAATATTGACATAATCATACCACTAGGGAGGTTAATGAAGACTCTTCCTCCAGCTCCTGGCCCTTTGCAAGTCACGATCTTTCAATTTGATAGCTGGAGGAAATGTTAATAGACAACATGTGCAGTGATCATCACATTCGTGTTCCATTGAGAACTACAAATTCGTCTGTCATGGTAGCAGATGGGACTTGTAGTTCATTAATTTACTGATCTCCGTAAATGAATGATGGAGCTATGCTGGTGGAGACCTGCACAACAGCACCTATTTCAAAGGTGATAACAGAGGCAGAGGAGAACAACCCTGCATGCTGTCATGGGTTTTTTTTTTGAGGGTGAGGGCACCCTAAATATGCTTTTGGCATGTAATATGGTGCAAAATATGGAGTTAGCCTTTAAAATGGATTCTAAGGGTGCAACTATCTTACAACCTGTTTTGTGTACTTTAATAAGCCTCATTAGTTTACAATTTTGCACGGAAAGAAAAAAGACCAATTTGAAAAAAGTTAAGCAAAACATTTAAAATAATAGAACACAAATAATGATCAAATGCACAAAAGAAAAAAAAACAGAAATGCAAAATGAAAAATCAACTGAATACAGAGAAATAAACTATACTACCATAATTACACCCCAATAAACCTACATATATTACATTAAAAAAAAACTTAAAAAAAAAATAGACTGTCTTTCTCTGTCAAACAACTTTTGCATAGGCAGATCAATGAGAGTTTCAGTATCAGTTTTAATCAAAACTACTACACCATACCTGTCAATAAGTAGTAAGAACCCACTACCCCAATACAAGGACAGGAGGTTAACTGTTTTTCAGTGTTCAGTTTTTCTGTAGGGTGACATTGTTCTAACATACAGTATATTTGTATAGCACTCTAACTTTAGAGCTTTGGCATATCCTGTTTCTGTTTGCATCAACCCTTTTAGTTTGTTGGTCAAATTATGCAATTACAGTATATAGAGACAGAGGAATATGTTTCATCTTATGTAAGATAGGTTTTACCTAATATACTATTTCTTGGTATTTCTCATGGAAGCATTATGTTTTGTAGAAGACTATGAATGTACGAAGCAAGGGGAGTTAAAAATAAAAGATTTATTGAGTCTCAAAGCCTCTCGTTAAAATGAAATGTGTTGAGAAAAGTGGCTTTCCACGTTTAATTGTCTTATTCACAGTAACTATCTGCCAGTCTACTCTAAAAGCCTATTAATTCTATAATTTAGTGTGAGGGAAAGGACCCAGGCACCACTGTTTCTTTCCTTTCATTGACTAGCTGTCATAGGACATCAGTGTTAAGGGTGCCTTCTCCTTGAACACTCAAAATACTTAAAATTAAAAAAAATAAAAACTTAAAAACCACTGAATAAATAATATGCCTAAGTGCTTTCAAAGTAACACGTTAGGTTCTTCCAGAACTATATTTTTATCAAGTGTGTTCAAGCTCTGTAAAGTAATAAGATAAATTACAGCAAGAAAACCTAGAAAAAAAAAAAGCCTCAAGCAACTTTTTTTTCCCTTTTTAAACCACAACTTTTTTCGATCTATAGAAGTGGAACACCTTGATCATTTACTTGAATGTTTTTTTACAAGATAAATTAAGCACTGAAGACCAAAACTCCAGCACTGCTCCATAAATCAATTTAATCAAATTTAATAAAATAATCCAGTTCAAGGTAATGGGGAAGATTTACTAAAACTGAACAGTGCAAAATCTGGTGCAGCTGTGCATGGTAGCCAATCAACTTCTAACTTCACTTTGTTCAATTAAGCTTTGAAAAAAAAAAAGCCTGTCAGCTAACTGGTTTCTATGCAGAGCTGCACCAGATTCTGCACTCTCCAGTTTTAGCAAATCAGCCCCAAAGTGTATAATGTATTATATATGTTAAATCTTGATTGTGTAGATTACACTAAAAAAGTTGTAATTATCATTTGTTTATGTTTTTTTAACAAGAACTTTACTGAGGGTGTACGAAAATACAATACATGAAATAAAATAACTTTGGGGGCAAAAGACCCCTAAGCATTAGCTATGACAGAGATACAAAACTTACAAGAGAAAACTTTCAACACCACAGTTGTTACAAAAAACAAATGGTTATAGTAATAACTTTTATTCTTAGGGTGGGAAACGGAGTAAAATAGCCTATAAGTAGAAAATACTGACTGTCCAAGGCTGAAGAGTGCTTAGGGTGTAGTTAAATAAAAAAAACACAAATCAAAGCATAAACATATTAATTAAGGAATGCCCAGAAGTTGGAAGCCCAGAGTTAAAGCAGAGAGTGTGCTTCAGTGTGGGTGCATCATCAGCTGAGCTCAGTCTGCAGACTCAACAAAATGATGCAAGCAAGCCCGGGTGTTTGCATATTTTGAGAGCGTCTCTTGTGCTATACTAACAGGTTCCTCCATTTCGGCATCTTCACATATACATCAAAGCAAGTCAGTGATTTTAGGAAAAATTGCAGAATTGTTTATGTTTTTTTGTTGTCTATTCTCCCTATTTTGCAAAAAAGTGTATCATATGTTGTGTTCATACATTAGTATGAATTTTCAGTAAAATGGGTGAATTGTCAGAGAAGACTCTCATTTATCTGGAGCTTCTATAACAATATTAGCCAAATGGTAGAGAAACAGTCTCCACAGTTGTGGCTGCACACCCAAACCATGGTAAGACCAAAATATTGAGTGTTGGTTTCAGCTCTTCTATGGATGTTGGCTTTTAGAAGTTCTCCTATGTTGTTGAAAGAAGGTCTTCAAAGTGGACATTGAGCTCTGTTATCACTTTTTCTGTAGTTCTGTTTTGTTTGGCCACAATCATTATCATTGTTTGGCAATCCCTGTTATTAAGTTTCAGTTTTCAGGCATTGCATTTCAGTTTCAGTTCTTTGTTGATGAAGTCTTGCAAAGTTTTGTATATGCATAGTCAGAGAGAATACACCTCTAAAGGGTATCCAATTATAACTGCACAACAGACTGGTGCTGCTGCATTCTATTTGTGATGGGCTACAATACACTATAGCTAAAAAAAAACTGGCATCACTACTGTTCAGTAACAATTTCTAAAACACTACTCCATCAATTGTTCACTGTTCTTGAACATAAGTCACAAAAACACATTGTACTACTGTATGTTTACTATGAATAGACAGAAATACAATGCAAACATATTGGCAAAGCCTTATCTTTCAGTAACTTGCCTAAAATGTTAAAACAAAAGCTTTTTGAACACTGTTCTTTCTTCGGGTATGTTAACAGAGGAAAGCTAAGTGACAGAGTATGAAATGCAAATTCATTCTGAGCAAAAACATTGTACTTAGATGAGTCATGAAAATAAACAATTATGTCAGGACAAAAAGCAGAAGCAATAAATGGTCATTAGCAATAAGGTGCAATAAGGCAAAAGGTGTTAGTGAGGCACTACAAAGCTGCTAGTTAACAAATAATCCCCAAATTTAATCCTTGTAGTTTACTTTATATTTACTGTAAATTTGTTCCCCAGTTTATTAATCTGCACTTTGTAATGAGATTCTGTTTCAGAGTTAATACTGTCCCACCAGTTGGAGCACTTTCCTTATGGGGACTATGATATTGTTTGGTCACACTACAATTTACAAATGTTCCTGCAGATATTTGGTTGCCAGTGGGAAACTGTTCCAGGAAGCTGAAAGAGGAGACACCCTGTAAGGGGAAACCTACTCTTTCCCTCCTTGGCAGATAACTCTCCCTATTGCTACTCCTATTTTCTTCCTATCTAGCAGGTGCTCTGTCACTGTCTTACTCCCACACCGTGGACACCCGAAATGATGCAGAAATCTCCTAATTATGGAATTCTGAGGCAACCGATTGGGGGTGCAAGAATGGGTACAGAGAATACAACAAATGATGTAATATATTTACAACCTACTAAGGTAACAGAAAGAGGACCAGCCTCTTTTCCACTTCCGACCACCCTATAGCAGAAATACTGCTACAGGGCAGCACGGGTGTGCAAAATCACGTGTATATATACGTGATTTTGCATATCCGAGTAGGGGGCGCACACAAGGCGTGCACGCGCCCTACCTGCACCACCATTCGCGGCCACCAATCACTGGGTCCCGGCTGGTGATTACTCACCAGTGCCCAATGATTGCCGAGCATCTCCGGCGGGGAGGAGAACTGTTTGTAAACAAAACAGTTCTCCTCCCTGTCAGCTCGTGTACACTGCTTTGCAAAAACTCAAAAATATAGTTTTTTTTTCTGAAAATGAACAGACTTTTTTTTTATAGCACAAAAAATAAAAAATACATAGGCGATCAAATACCACCAAAGGATAGCTCAATTTGTGGGGAAAAAGAGGACATACATTTCATATGGGTGCAGCGTTGCATGACCGTGCAATTGTCAGTTAAAGTAACCCAGCACAGTAATGCAAAAAATGGCCTAGTCTAGTCAGGAAGGGGGGTAAATACTCATGAGGACAAGTGGTTCACCTGGCTGTGAGTTACTACCATTAAATAGGCACATACTCGATTAGTAGTAAATGCTCTTTAATCTAAAGATACAGGTTAGAATAAATGGCAAATTGAACATAAATGAGCGCCCAGCTGATAGATTCTGACACAGTTTGCTAGACAGAGAAATAACTGTTTTAAATTAGCGAAAATTTGATTTTTTT